AACACGGCACTAAAACAGATAGCGATGGGCAGGATCTACAAAAGCCCATGATTCGAAGCACATGCAAAACCTCAAACCCCACCAAAACCACCAGATTCAGCCTGACCTTATTCCACTACCTCCAGCCTCATTGTACCTCTGCCTGCAAGGTCCCCCAAGCAAGAAGTGACACTACTCTCAACTTCCGTGCTAGGCAATAAATGAGTTAAACAGAAACCCTCACTTCTCCCTGTCCTCTGCTCAACTGACAGCACTCCTTTCTTGGAAAGTATCATCCATGGGTCCCCAACACTCCACTGCTCCCATGTCCAAATGATCCAGCACTATCACAACTCTTATTTGGAGCTATTTTTTTATTCCATGCATGATCCAAATTAAGGATAATAAAACTACTGGTGTACAATTAATAAATTACAAGCTTTCATAAAGACCTTCTTAGTTTGGGTTCCATTCAAAAGTGCCTATGTATAGAAGAAATCTTAACAGTAATAAAAAATATATATATAGTTGCTCATGCGGAAGTGCTGAAAGACTGCACAAGGAAACGTGGCTCTAAATTAAACCAGAATCAGGCATCTCATTTCAACTGAGCTGCGTGGGCCTATCCAGGGGAAAACAAACTCACTCATCATTTAGATACAAAATCCACATCCAAATAGGACAAAACCAAAAAAAAAAAAAAAACTTTCAAAAAACATTACCAAGCTTTTTAAACTAAGGTACCTAAATAACTCCTTATTTGTTTTTAAAAATAAAATTGACTGTGGGCCACTCGCATATCAACAGCAAAATTTTCCACACCAAAGAAAAAGTCACCAAAACAAAACAACAATAGAGCACAAAAGAAGCAGGCAGACATCTTCAACATGTAGCATGTACTCAAATCTTATATATATATATTTTAAATGGATAGATTTCAAGATGTTCATATCCCCTTAAGAAACACTAGATAGGCATTCTCTGGACAACATCCTTTCCAACTCATATTGCACCATTCTGTCTTCTTTGACTGTAAAATTTCACTGCAGCGCAATTCCATCCATTGACTTGTCGGTAGAAGGTTAAAGAAGGTTAAAATAAAGTAATAAAAATAAATTGCTTCCAGCTAAATATTCTGGTAGACATTTTGCACTAAAAACATATACCATATATCTTAAGTTGAAATAAATGTTCAAAAATAAGTTCAAACCATACTCACTCAAAGCATGATCATGGACATTAGCAGTTGCTTTTTCTAACTCTTGTTAGCACATATACGGGCTTTAAAAGGTGAATTTTGAATTTCTTTAAGCAGCACAACTTCAATGTAGAAGAGCTAAGAGTGGGTTTGCCATACTGGCTTCATATTTGATAACTGTTCTTGATGAGAAATACTACATTTTGTATGCACAGAGGACAAGAATTAAGAAAGTACTCAAGAGCATAATCATAACTTTCACAGAAATATGGCTATTACCTGTTATTAATATGATGCATTTGCTACACATAAAGCAAATGCTCTAGATATCAAGTCATCTTTTGACTTGTGGCTTGGCTTAAGCTGAACTGATTTTACACAGGCATCGCTTGCACTTTCTTGGCATGCACAATTACCATTATGATGCCTACGCATAAATGCACAAACAAAATCATTCAAAGAACAAAGAATGTGCATGCAGTTACAAACTCACTTAAGATTGCTAGAGGTCCCTTCCAACCATAAGCATTCTGTGATTCTATGATTGGGTGTATTATTGGGGATCTCGTACAATCTATTCCTTTATTTTAACCTCCGTCAATGCAGCAAACATTTGCAGCCATTCAAATGGTAGCCTTGGCTCCACAGAACCTAGCAGAGAGGCTAGGGTCTGCACTTCATCAGCTGCATTTGGGGGAGGTTTCCTTACTGGCTTCCACTGCTAGCTGTGCTTCATAACTGCAGATTTCCCTGGTAATATGTTGCCTTGTCCTTCTGAGCATTGTGTTACAAACTTGCATGCCACTGCAAACATTTCCTCACTGCTAAGCAGAGTGGCACTGCACTGCCCAAACTGAGTGAGAGAAATGGCTAAGTGACTAAAAGGAAAATGGTGTTACTGTGCAAGTGAAGCTGAGGGTACATAGCTTCTGAAATTCAGGCAATTCAATTTTAAGTATCGGTCCCTTCAAATAGATGTGCCGTTATCCAGAATAAAGCCCAAGAGGTGTCTGCTTAACTGAGGAAGGCGTACAAGGTTAGCATGTTAAACTCCAAAGTACTCTTTCAGTTGTACCCAGTTCTATGGGCTCACATCTATTCTTTCTTCGGTGAGCATCTCCTTGCTAGACATGATGAGTATTTCAGACGTTCATTCAAAATAAACATGGGGAACTTAATAGGGTATTTATGGCGCAGAAGAATTTCCTAAACAACTCCTCTTACAATAATGAGAAAGGAGAACAAACATGGAAAATTATAAATAATAAACAAAAGTTACAGAATCCAGTAAGGAAAAGTAAAGCAAAAACATGGAAAGTGATAAATAACCAACAAAAGTTACAAAGTAACACTACCTATCACATTTAATTAGTCTTACTGGTTTTATCTGCCCAACGCATTTATATGGGCTGGGCAGCATGGCTCATTTCCGCACTGTACAGAAGACATGTAAACATGTTGGTCCTAAAAAGCACAACCTGCAAGATATCCTAGCTATCCAAGTAAATGAATACACATCTACAAAAATATAGGACAATTTGAGAGAAGTTACCTACGCTTAATATTAGAATAGACTTCTACAAAGCCTCCTTCAAAGTTCGTAACAACGCTGGAGGCAAAATACAGTAAAAAAAAAGAAAATTGGAAATGCTATTTCATTTTTCAGCACTCCACTGGTCAGATTCACTCAACCACTGCTGATCAGTCAGAGGCTTGAGTTACAATTCAACAGGAATCATTACAGTACTAGTTTACATACTAATCCCACCCATAAAAGAATGAAGGTTAGAAATACACCAGTGTTGTACTTCTGAAATGCCCTTGTGAAGATGTCTGTAAATTATACAGCTTTTTATAATTTTATTCCAGTTGAGAGAGAGACATAGCTGAATTTAAAATGACTAAACTTCCCACAAAACAACACAAAATCCCAGCCCACACACTTCAATGAAATTCCTTGAGCAATATGACCCCTCTCTTGGTGAAGGCAAGTGAAGAACTCAAACCAAATACAATTCAGCACCACAAAACAAAGAAAAAATACTAGAAGACACAAACTACAGTATCTAAAACCAAAGATGAAACACCACACAATTAACTCAAAGGGAAAGTCAAAACAAAAATAAACAGAAGTCCAGTGAGTAACACATGATACTATACATACACATAAAACCAGACAAGCCTTTCCATCTAAGAGATAAAAAAACAAACAAACAAAAAACTGTTCAAGAAGCATTTGGGAAAGGAGGAAAACAACAACATCATATTACAGAGCAACCTGCCCTGCCATCAGATCAGAAAGAGTGGTCACATAACTCAAGAGAAATTCGGAGACACCACGACACCACTATGACATATCTTCTTAGGAAAAATAAGTGTAGATATATATACAATCCCACCTCAACATCACCAATCGCACATTACAAAAATGACTCATTTACAAAAAGACCTTATTTTCCACACTAGTATCTACTTAACCACAGAAAAAATATAAAAATATGAACAATCGCTAAAGCTTTAACTGTGCTTATGTACCATGCTATGAAAGCAGCAATAATGAAAATATTAAAAAATCATATCCATGAAAATGAAAGATCCTAATTTTTAATGAATTTATTTAATGAAGGAGATAGTATTGTATTACCACAGTTACTGTTAGCACACAAAGAGCTGGTTTGCACAACTACTCCTACATTAGAAGAGAGGCAGAGACGCTTCTGAGACTAATCTCAGCTCCAAAACACTTACTTGTTCCTTCCTTAATCTTAAAATTTAACTTCACTTTGCCCTAATGACTAAGTTATAAATCCATTAAACAAAGTTTTGTAATGTACAACGGTGAAAACAAACTGTTAAAAACTGGAATGTTTTTGAAACAAACTATGCTACAGACATAAGTTTATCAAATCTACTACCAGATCCAGGAACTTTTTAGACTGTAATGTATCCAAACAATCCTAAAATATCTGAAATCATTTAGCTGAGCTCAATATAAGAAAAATAGCTCTGCAAACTAAGAGTTTAAACATAACATTTTTCTGATTTTCTTTCACTTCACCTTACAGTAAGTTTGCACCATCCACCCTGCAACATTCTCGTTTTGAAAGAAATTATGACTTACTTCTACTCAAAATACCCTAATGAACTGAAAATGCAGCATCTATGCACTACCCGATATTTTTCTAAAAAAAAAAAAAAGCCATAAATGTAATACTGTATCTTATTATAAAAACTTGAAAACACTGATCTGCCATCCTGTTATCATGAAAGATAGCCATCTTAAAAATCTCAAAGAAAGGCACTGCCTTGTGAAACCAAAGATTGCTGTAAGTTTCTGAATTCTTCAGATTCACTTGAGGTGTTACAAAGCTTAAAGAAAAAAAGAAGGGAAGGAGGAGTTGTGACTACAGTAATCTAGGCAGGAAATTTCCAATTTCATTAACTTGGTTTATGTTGCAACATTGACATCTTCCACTTAATTTCAGATGCTATAAAATTTGTGTAATAGAAAGAAAAAAAAATCAACTATTAAGTTTGGAAAGAACAAATAAGGCACGGAAGAAGCTAACGTGAATCTTGAATACAATGGAAAGCAAACTTTGTAGTCTGCAGACTTGTGCACAGATTCAAATATGTATACAACATACTGGAGAGAGAGAGGGGGAAAAAAAAGAAATGTTCTGTGCTTTTAAAATTAGCTAATCTCCTGAGGAGCTGGAAAACACTGCTTCCCAGAAGTTAACCCTTTGCTGGCCTATTCTAGAGGACGAGAAAACACTGCTGAAAACGGGAGGGGTTAAATATCAAAGCAATCGGTGGTTACCTTTAAAACTCTTTGCTTCCTCCTCTGAGGCCTTTTGTTTTCAGATAGAACCTAAAAAAACATCAAATCGCAGAATAAGTGGTGGTCACAAAGGCAGGCACCTCCAGCTTTATTACCATTAAAGTGCCCCCGTGCTGACGAGTACCCGGAGCGCTCGAGGCGCGGCCCGCGCGCGGGCGGCGGCCGCGGGCCGAGCGGGGAGGCGCG